CAATTTTTATTAAGAACAACAAACTATTGTTAAACGACTATATATTTTGGTAACAAGATGATTTTGCAAGTCTTTTTTTTTTTTTTTTTTTTTTTTCGCCACTCTACGTGTAATGATTTAATGAATTGACAATATTGACATTTTCGGAAACGATATGCGATCATTTATATCGATTGTTTATTTTATTTATTTTTTTTTTTTCTATTTTCATATGCATTTATAGAATCACATACGCACAAGAGAGTCGTATATGTACACAATAATTTTATATGGATCATTTAAGTTATTATTTTATATGCATGTTATGCACGAAAGTAAATCAACAATCTTAGAATTTTATCTCTCCAAAAATATTTGACGAAAGTATATTTTCAGTCAGACTTCTTAAGAGGAGAAGAGAAAAGAGAGTCACCAGTAGAGTAAATTTTTAATTTTGATTGTGATTAAAATTTAATTCCTAAGATAGAAATTTAGTAACTAGTAGACATGTTAGTAACAACATAATATTTTATTATAACCAATCAAAAAGTCATGAGCTATTATGAATAAAAATTACTAAAATCTTATCTACATTCATCAACTGTTATTAATATCTTTAAGAAATCAATAAATAAAAGTGTCTTGCCGGTGTGTGGCAGCCTTAGGAGTGACGTGACGGCGGGCGCGTAGCAGCTGCAAGTGCAGCGCAGTGACTCGCACCATTCACATGTGACATACATTTATTGGCCCAGTACATAAAAATGTTACAAAACTCCTCTTTTTTCATTGACAATACCTTAGTTAAATTGTTCCATTTTTCAACCTAGATAGTCCAAAAAAATTCTAAAAATTGTACATCATGAAATTTAAGGCATTTTAACCAATAATTGCATTTTTAAAGGTTATAGAGTAAAAATTTGTGAAAACTGATAGATCCATAAGAAAGCTGAGAAAAAAAAGCATAGGGATTGATGCTTTTGTGATTTTTTAAACATTTTTCTCAGGCTCGAACGACGAGATAAAAAAGTCGTCTTTTGCGCTCACGCGGCCTGTCTGTGGTGGCACTAGGGTAGTTAAAAAAATTCTCCCCATATATAAATTTAACATTAAAAAATTTGTCTAAATCTTCCAATACAACCAACTATCTCTTTACTGCCCCCTTACGTAAACGTTGTGGCTCCAGCAACTCCTTCACTACCCTTTCACTGAAATTTAAAATATTTTAAGAAAATGATATTATAATCGTGTTTCAACAAAAATGTGTTAAAGATAGGGAGATGTGAGGTAATTTGTTGGCCCCCTAGCCCTTTTCCATATTTCCCTACAAAAACTTAAAATGTATTGAAAAAAAATTGACCATAGGGTTATTCTGAAATTCTTACCCTTACAGCCCCTTCGCACTCCCTAAATGATTTTATGATTTCTTGTGTGGTTACATTATGACAGGGACAAGAGAGGCTTATTTACCACCTTTCCTCCATGAAAAATCTAGTATTTTTCTTAGATATCTGTGAGTTTTATATTTTTTGATATTTTACGTTAACTGTACAACAACTTTAATTTATGTTTTTTCTATTCTATTAGTTCCTGTCAAATTTACAATACATTTTATGTTAAGCAGTTAAGCACGAGGTAAAAAGTTTTTATAGTATAGTGAATTTCATGACGTTTGAATCCTTTCAGAAAGTACACATAAAATTTTTGAGTCACTTCTTTAAATTTCTTGTCAATGATAATGGCACGTAGAGCACGCAAAGACCAGCTTATACTAAGCGAATTATTTGTTAAAAGTATTGATAAAATTATGAAAATTATCATGTTTTGATATTTCATTTTAAACTGCAACGCGTAAATGTCTTTGATAAAATTTCTTATCACTTTTTGATAAAAGATTGTGAAATAAGAAAAAAAAAAAAAAAACA